TCAGGCGCCGAACGCCGGGTCCGCCTGGCACACGAAGCGTCGGCTGGCGTCGCACCGGCTCAGCGCCCAGCCGTTCTCGCTAGGCTGCAGGCTCACCGGCCGCTGCGTGGCGCAGCTCAGCCACTCGTCGTTCCGCGCCAGCTCGGCCGCCGCGAAGGCGCTGAAGCCGTCGTCGATGCGCGAGCCGTCCACGTCCAAGCGGAACACGCCCTCGGTCTGCGTGTCCGAGACGCCGATGTACGGCTGTTCGGCGGCGGCGCGGCGCAGCACCAAGAACGTCTGCAGGTTCTGCTGTTCGGCGCGCGACTGCGGCGAGACGAGAGCGGCGCCGGCGCCGAACAGCGCCGGGCACGCGGCGCGCGCGTCCGACCAGGAGGCGGCGCGGAACGGCGAGAGGCCGAGGCAGGTGCCGCCCGCGTTCAGCATGTCCTCCGGGCAGGCGCCCTCGCGCGCCTCGCACGTAGAGCTGGTCGGGTGGCAGAAGTTCGAGCTGCACTGGGAGCCACGCTGGCAGGCGGCATGCTCGGCGAAGTTGGCGACGCACCTAGGACGGCGGAAGACACTGTCAGCGCGGGCACACAGACTCACAGTCGGGAGGGGTTTCCTGACCCTTAGAATGAGGGGTGGGGGATGGGTGATGAGGTGAGGCAGACTGAGCGCTGGGCCAAGAATGCGCCTGTTCTCTGTAGTGTCGTACACAGGCCAAAAACGTCTTTAGCATCGGGGAAACTCTCGACACCTCTCATCTGTCCATTCAATCCATTAACCTCGCCCGGCCAACAAAACATAACAACGACCCAGCCGCTGAAGTATTCAAAAAGCCTTTCACTTTCTTGCCGCATTGCACGGGCCTTGCGTGGCCCGTGGACGCGTTTTCGCGTCCACATACCGCACGCATTTCACGATCGTGTCCACGCACTAACGTGCTGTGCACGGCAGCGGCGAGCGGCGGGGAGCCGGCTCACCTGTGCACAAACAGTCCGTGGCAGGTGAACGGCTCGCAGTGCTGGTTCAGCGGACAACCGAGCTCCTCGGAGCAGTCACTGAGCGCGTTCACTTCGAACAGCGAGTGGCGCAGATCCTCGCACGTGTGCCGGAAGAACAGCGACAGGATGCGCTCTGACAGCGTCTGGCCGCGTGCCGGCCCCGCCTGCGGCATTGGAGCGCGCCGTCACGTGACGGGAACACCGCTGCTGAAGAGCGCGCAGTCATATCAAGGGAACGGCAGCAAACGGCGCAGCCCAGTCGCAGCGACGGCATGCAGCGCGGTCAGGTCACGGGGGCAGCGGCGAAGAGCGCAACAACTCCGGGCGATGGAAAGAGCGCAGGGAGTTACCTGTGCTCAGTCCAGGTCGTGCTTTCAAATAAAGCCAATTCGGAAATGTGGAACCCCATTTCAACAGGAGTTGGAGTGTGTTCCAAATGGCTGACAGGACGCAATCTCGTTACGCGGAGACACAAAACGATTCATAAGCCAACTGAACCCAGTTGCGTCAGCATGCTATACCACGAGCACTTTAACACATCACGAGGTAAAGGCAGCTCCCGGGCCGTGCGCTCGCAGGATGGGGTCCCACTCTGCTCCCTGCTACTCCCTGGCAGCGTCAGCCCACCCTCCTCCCCTCCCAACAGGCGCGTGGAGGGAGAGAAGGGGCACTCACCAGCAGCGTCATGATCACCAGCGCGTAGTACATGCCGAACCGGGAGCCACACCAGCACTGCCAGTCGGGCCCCACTGCGTCGGTCCGGCCGACCCGAGCCAACAGCACCGGTCCGGCCGACCCGAGCCAACAGCACCGGTCCGGCCGACCCGAGCCAACAGCACCGGCCTGGACGACCCGACCCGCCAGCACCGGTCCGGCCGACCCGACCCGCCAGCCGGTCAGACCGGGCCCGTCGTTCGCCGCCGGCCCGACGCTCGCCAAACACGCCGTGTTGCGCGGCCGGACGGCCCGTTTATTGCAGGATCGGAGGGGCGCCTTCACCGCATGCGATCGGAGCCCCTGGAGGGCCAGCACGGCACAGCGCGCGGTCCGGCGGAACACGTGGCGTCCGCGTCAGTCACCCTCGGAGGGCAGCGCTGCACACAATCAGCCCAGTCCACGGACGGAAGAAGACCTCACGGCGCAACACAGACGTAATGTCCAGTGATCCCGCCCCTCGATTTATGCGTGGTAACAGCCATATGCCAATTGCTCGTTGTTACTGCAGAGCAAAGCAGTTTCACAAAATGTTACAGCGCAACCAGGAACCAGCAAGGCACTTGCTACAATATTACAACGATACGGCATCGCACGGGTGACGGTGTCGATACATTAGCAGCCGTCCGGGTAGTCAGGGGATGGAGATGCAGCAAGAGCAGGCCTATAAGGACACCCCGACGTCCGCAATACCTCCACCACGCAAACAATATGTAAAACGGCTGCTCGGCTGTCCACAAGCCCGCATACACTCCATGGCTAACTCAGCACACGAGAACGAACACAATGGAAAGCAATGCACCCAAAAATAGTTAGCTCATGAACACGACCACAGTGGGAGGGAAACCATGCACCCAAACATAGCTTAAATTACCGCAAGCACTATGAAGCAGCGTTGGAAGAGCGGTGCCCAGCCACCGGAATACGAGCTTTTCCAATTACGAAAGCTGCTGACATCCAATCACACCACCATCGGTGCCCAGTCCGGCTCAGGTATTCGTGCACCCAGCGGATAAACGCTGTCACACTGACGTATTTTGATTTCACACATCACGTCACGAACATACGTGTGATGTTCACACACTTTCGCTGCGGGAATTCTTGTGTCGGCAATTCAGAGGTTCAAACAGCAGCAGAGAAGTCAGCACATGATCGATACTCCGCACCGCCGACCGGTAAGCAGACACCAAGTGGAACAGATCGACCAACCAGGCTGACCTCCCCGCCACGGCTCAGGGAAGGAACATAAGTCGCCGGACGTCAGGTCAAGAAATGAACGGAAAGTTACTCTGCATCTAATCCGACGCGCATGAGGAATCTGAGGTGCTTCACGTGGACGCCAGCAATTTATCCCCTTGTTCCAAGCAAGAGCGAGCCACTCACACGATACAATAGGGCAATGAACTATCATCAAATAGCTGTAAAGCACTGCAAGGATAAGTTCTTGCGGTAATTTATACTAATAACTACGCTCACAGCCAAAGGCAAGAACTCACGATAAGAAGGACAACGTTTCATCTAGCATATCTAAAAATACTCGCATGCCTCAGGCACCTAGATCCTACCTTGGTCCTTTTGTGGAAATACTTTGCTATCATTACCCGTCACGCCCGTTACGATTATTGTCCACCCTAGCTCATCACGGCGATCCCTCTATTTCCAGCATACAGCAGCTCCAGACCCAGTCCGTTATTGAGGTGTCATGGATGTAATGATCATTATTCTATCCTGTCCATGCAACCTACAGCATGCTCGTCGATCTGTGCCAAGAGTTAGGATTGGACGCCACTACACACGGAAGGAGCCCGTTTCGGGATTCCACCGCACATATGATCACTGATTCGGTTTCACGTCTTCCCCGACTTGTCTGGCTGATCAATCCCCGCCAGACGGCAAACGAAGCTCAGCAAATGGTTGGTCCCCTTGGAGAACGGCCTTGACCTATAAACACCGCACATCTAGCATCCGTCACGCAGCAAAACTTCCCAAAGAAACACGCTCACATATGAGCCACGAACCATCATCAAGTAATGGCCCCGAAAGTGGGCCCATTTCGACGTCAGTTGGATAGGAGACTCTTCGCCAAACGTGCTTACTTCTCGATCGGGGAGAACATCGACCTCCAACACAGACCCCCAATGCTTAGCTATCAGGCTGATCGCGGGACCCTCGTCAAAGATCCCTCGCGCTCCGTCGGGGAGGGGATCTTTGGTTCCTCAGCCGCCACTCCGACCGGCCGACTCCTCGGTCGGCGGGCGAGCCTCGCCGTCACCCGGGGCCGGCCTCACAGGCCTCCCTAGCCCGTCACACGGCCTTGACGACGCGCCGCCGGCCGCCGTGCGCCGGCGGCTCGTGGCCGTCCTCGTCGTCGGCGAGCTGGCGTAGCGGCGAGTACATCTCGGAGCCGGTCTGGCCGGCCAGCTCCTCCACCGTCTCCGGCAGCGGGGCGGCCCAGCGTCTCCGGCAGCATCAGGTTCAGCAGGCCTGAGCCGACCGCCAGCGCACCGAACACCGCGAAGTGCAGGTCGGCCATCACGTCGTTCTGCGGGCGGCGGACGGCGTGGGAGTCACCAGACCGACCACCGGCACAGGGTCAGGTCTGAGCGCCGCACCCGGTGCCGCCTGGGGGTCACGCATCGGCACGACCAGAGGCAGCCGTGCCGCCCATTTGAATCTTGTCCACGACGCATGACCGGAGGCGGCTCGACCCAAGTCATTCTTACGCGCGGGCAAACACCAACACAAGAGTTTCTAGTTAACAGCTGACTAATCACAAACGCCCTCCACTAGTCACCATTCTGTAACTGTGCCTATACCATTCGCCCGACGAGTACTGAAAACCCGACTGAGTTCCGGCAAAGCCATCAGCTGTCGGACGGCGTAAGGCCTCGTCACAGCTCAGAAAACGCCAACGACGGGGTATACCCACCAGAAGGGCCATGAACGGGTAGACGATGCCGCCAATGCGGGCAAACACGTTGACCAAACCGAAGCCGGTGTTTCGGATAGACGTGGGGAAGATTTCGCCCGAGTGGATGAAGATCACGGAGAAGCTTGCCGCCGCACACAGCTTGCCTGCAGGCAGAGACCGAAGAACCCATCAGTCGGTGCTCACACTGCTCTGATCTAGACGGCGGACAGTGCAACTGTACGGGCTGCTCAGTGATGACTCGTCTGCCTGGTTAGTCATCACCAAAAATACCAATATTGGTGTGGTATTACGCAACGCAAGCGTGCGACACAAAACATACACGTAAACACGTGAAACGTTCCTTCTACTTTTAACCAAAAGAGCATTTTTTTCAACAGGATGGATCGCAAAACAGCTGATTCATGATGGTTGGTATCTTTGTGACTGAGTGGGTCCGGCAGCTGAGTTGGTTACAGCGCCTGTACGTTGTATTCACCCATCCGTGGTGTGATGGGCTCCAGTCCCTTTAAGAGCTCAGTATTTTCCCCAGAATAAGATGGCCCGCGGCCCGTGGCAGCAGCGACCGCGCTGAGGTCCGGTGACGTCCGAGGGTTGGGCGTGGCTGAGCAGACCGCTCCCAGCATTACGACTTGTTAAACTTTTGCCCCCAAAATTCTGTCGTTGATCGAGAACTTCGCAGTCAGATGAAAGGGTAAGGGCTCACTTCATAATCAGATGGAGGGACCAGGGCCCACTTCATGGTCGATTGGTGGGACCAGTGCTCGGGCAACAAGTACTGCCTAACACAAGCTCATTTCAGAAATTCACCAAACGAAAAGGAGGGGGGAGGGGGAGGGGACAGCTGATGCAGATGATGCAAGATAGTATAGTAAGCTGGTCCTGTCAACATTTAAGACAGCTGGGTAGACCAAGACAGATGGCCAACCTCCCCATCAAAGACCTGATATAGACCCGCTTACCTCTCCAGATTTGATAATGTGATAATGTGGCATGATGTACATGCCACTCATCTGGCATGTACATCTTATGCCAACGCAATATTCACGGCGATGCCATGCTCTGCTTTCATAACCAAAAGATACAACATGTGAGAACTGCACGTGGTCTGTGCCCCTGGCGCGTGTGGCCCTTCCGGTTGGTGGTGACCGCTCTGCTGGCCCCTCACCGATCAGGCCGAGCAGCATGCGCAGCTGGGCGAGCCTGGCGTCGCCGTGCGGCAGGCCCATGATGCCCAGACAGCAGCCGCCGCCTAGCAGCATGAAGCCACAGAGGGGCGTGCGGCGACCGACCCTGCGCACACCGGCCGGCGCTCAGCACAGCGTACACCGCCGCTCAACATGTTGCCGTTATTCGGCCAGCACGGATCAGCCAACCGCTACTCCGGGCGAGGCAGGGGAACGGCCGGGCAACGAAGGTCAGCACAGACGGCTGTGTCCCTCGGCGGCGCGCTACGGGTCAGTTCAGATCTACACGGGTCAACACCAACAAGTTCAGCTTGCGGAGGGAGGACGAGGAGGCACATCAGGCCGGGCCCACAAGAGCCCCTGGCACGCGTCCCGCAGCAGGACAAGTCACGATACCGGGAGGTCAAGTGCCACACATCGCACGGCCGACCCCCCCCCCCCCCCCTCCGGCCGCACGCGGACGCGCACACACCGACAGGCTGCGGACGGTCCTGTCCGTCTGCTGGCAGACCCCCGCCTGCCGCCCGACCACAGAAGCGGGCTGTCGACGTGCCTCGGCTGCCCGGAGCGGGCTGGCGCGCCCACCTGTTCAGCACCAGCATCACGATGGCGTAGGCCGGCAGCTCGATGAGGCCGCTCAGCGCCACTGACGTGAAGCGGTCGCTGCCCATGGTGGCCGAAGCCGACGTCAGGCCGTAGTAACACAGGTTGTTGGTGAACCTGAAGCCCGCACGGAAGGCGGTTAGTGAGTATCGCACGCTACAAGATCATACATCCTAGTGGTTCTCTAAAGCTTTTGCCACTACAGACTGCTCGATGAGCTCCTGCGAATCCTGCTCTCATCTAGAGGCGGAGATATCCACCAAAACCAAAACAACACGAACAAAACCGCCACGACCAAGCTCGCCAGAGCATCAACGGTAGGGCACTCACCACGAGAACATCATGACCAGCGTCCAGACAGCCACTTTGCGGTACTTGAAAAGGGAGCAAACGCCTTCGGCGACAGGTGCAGCGCGTGGCGCGGCCGAGCGCAGCTTAAGCCCGGCCGGCAGCGTGGTGCCGTTACACCGGGCGATGCGCTGCAGCACGCGCAGCGCCGCCTCCTCCCGACCCTTCAGCAGCAGCCAGCGCGGACTCTCCGGCAGGTAGCTGGGTCAGGGAGGGTCAGTGTCAGCCAGCAGGACTCTGCGGCAGGTAGCTGGGTCAAGGGAGTGTCAGTGTCAGCCCGTGGGGCTCTCCAGCAGGTACCTGGGTCAGGGAGGATCAGTGTCAGCCAGTGGGACCCTCCAGCAGGCAGCTGGGTTAAGAGAGGGCCAGCGTCAGCAAGCGGGACTCTACGGCAGGTAGCTGGGTCAGGGAGTCAGGGAGGATCAGTGCCAGCCAGTGGGACTCTCAAGCAGGTAGCTGGGTCAGGGAGGATCAGTGTCAGCCAGCGCGGACTCTCCGGCAGGTAGCTGGGTCAGGGAGGATCAGTGTCAGCCAGTGGGACTCTCCAGCAGGTAGCTGGGTCGGGCAAGGATCCATCAAAAGACCACCGGTAATCGCCATGATCACTGGACGCAACGTACATAAAAACCTTTGTGAACTGCACCGAATCCCATCCACAATGTGTGTGTGCATTACAGTCATACAAAACACAACGATCATTACGACATTCCATAAATCATGACATCTGTTATCATGCCATGGCGCAAGATAGCTGGTACAAACACACCAGTGCACGGCGACTAACACAGATCAGGTTGAAAAATTCACGCCCTGCGCCTACACGCCCAGCATCCAAGCGGGCTGCCGCAACATCGACATCTGCGGCATCTGAGCATTCCTTCCGGGCAGGCCTACCGCTGGACAGACACTCACAAGTAAGCGCTGAAGTACGCGCAGCCGAACAGCGTGAAGAGCAAGTAGAGGTGGCGCCAGCTGTGGATGAGGCTAGCCGCCGCCGACAGGACGGGGATGCCCAGCGCGAACATGACGCTCATCAGATTGCCGCAGAAGGCGCGCTGGGAGGCGCCCACCACCTCCGAGGCCAGCACGAACGTGGACAAGATCATGCCGATGGTGACAGAGCCGGAGACGAACCTGTCGCGGGGCGGCCGCCGGCGGTCAGCGAGCAGTCGGGTCGAGTCGGACGGGGCAGGGTGGCAGGGGGCGGGCGCGGCCCGGAGCGACCAGCTCATGGAGGGCGTGACAGGAACCTGGCAGTGAAGCGCGGGCCAGCGGATGGTTTGAATTTGAAGGGGTTCATTTGAAGGCAGACGAAGAGACGCAGGCAGTCTGCAGCAAACCCGCAGGGTGAGGAAAGAAAGGTCTGGCGCGGGGTGATGGGCAGGTTAGAATACAGGAACAAACCGTTGGGGAGCACGCGACTGCATCAGGAACGAGTGAAATCAGTGGGTAATCCGCGGGTCAACCGGCGAGACTGAAAACGCGCGGGAACTATTCGAAAGGGTTATACAAACATGGGAAACCCGACGGCGAGATACGGGATAATGCTAGATTAAGATGTCGATAAAATAAATGTATAGAAAGCGAGAACACTGAACTCAAGTAACAAAACAAGGACTATGATAGAGATAATACGTATTGGCGGGCAACCTGCAATTTAAGCAATGGCTTTATTATTCAAATAGACAAAATCAAAATAACTTAAGAGGAAAGTGTTCCCCGACCCTATATATATATATATATATATATATATATATATATATATATATATACAGATACAGATATATACAGAGACAGATCATCTGGCTTCAACGGGATACTGGGAATGAGTGCGAACGGTCACAGACCGCGCATTCCATGCTCTCGAACTAACGTTGGTAGTTTTTCCGATACATAACATAAAAATACGCCTACTTCATGCAAAACATCAGTAAACACACATATTTACAAAACACCATGTAAGTAAATACGCATGCTTTCGGTGCACAACGTAAGTAAAAATGCGTTCTTTTGATGCATAACGCAAGAACGTGCGGGCCTTTCAAAGCATGTCGACACCGGATTCGTTCAATGGAATATTCACCGGCAGACACTTTCGACTGCACAGACAAACATGCGACAAGACAAGGGTCTTATCTCCAAACCTGGAGCAGTGCAGTCAGGCTTTGGTGACGCAATGGCTATAAGTAATACAAGCATACAGAACAAACACTACTACCTACAGCACCCAGAATGCATATCACACCATGTGCAAGGGCAGAAAACAATACGGACAAGAACAAGCACCTTACGGGGAACCATCACAACGTCTAAGATAGCAGCGTCCAGTGCTTCTATTATCATCCAAAATCGCAACATCCAGCGTTCATAACATACAAAATGCGTCCAATGCCGGCCTATGGGAGGAGCTCATAGCACACGAGCTCGCAGCGTCCAAAGTCACATCATCCAATGCTGAAAACATCTTGCGATTACGATGTCCAGTTGATACGCTTTAATCGACACTGTAGTTCTTCAACCTTTGGACGTCATGAACACTGGACGTTATGAACTTTGGATGTTGCATTTTTGGATGCTGCAAGCTTGAATGTTATGATTTTGTCCAGTCCACGGACATGGGACGTTTTGATGTTATAAACACGTGCTGCAGTTTTGGACGTTTTGACCATTGGACGCTACGACCTCTGGATGTTTCAATACAAATCCCATCTCACACTTCTCATGGCTGCGATCCAGACTTAGCAGGAAGCTGTGCACAAACAAAAATATGTTAGGCCAGCGCACGCGCATTTCTCGATTTGTTGACCATGTCAGGCCCAAATGATGGCTGGAATTCAGGACACGTTAATTTCACCAGAGCAACAAGGGCCTCGGATGACATGTCAACTGGGAAAGGGCGGAGGGTGGGGGGGGGGGGGGGGGGGGGGGAAGTAATGGCCCCGATGTGACAGACATTACCCCTGCCCCCAAGAACACATTCTGATCCAAATGAAAATAAATACCATGAACCGAATATTTCGCCTGGGTGGATGAAAACAGCCATGTTCGAGTGTACTTTCAGGTCAATAAAACATACTCCGATAGAACAGCATTTACTGCTCTGCCTTGCGATGTTCTGTGTTAAAAGTGTGGCGGTAATTTCATAGAATTTTTTTAAGGAAGCAATTTAATGGCGTGGCGCATGCAACCACAGATTTTCCGTCCAAATCACAATGGCAATCCAATAGCGGCAGGTGATTGCTTGCTAGGTCAAAGGATTTGGTAATGTATCGTCGAACCAGCCCTCCTAGTGGTTTCTTCAGCTAATGTCCAGCTGTACACGCGCAACGGTTCTTTGCAGAACAGGAAAATATTCAATGCCCCCTCATCCTTTCTTATCGTTCTATTTCTGCAGTGGGGAGAGGGGGGGGCTGCTAAGAGCTCACTGTTGGCGAACAAAATAATACGTTGCCAGCATGATATTAAAACAATTCAGAGCTGCAAGGCGTGCAAACATCTAAAATCAAAATGAAAATGAAGGAAGAGAAGACCAGACAAACCTTTTCACGGAACTAAACAAAACTAATTAACCCCATTCCTAAAAACATATTCATCCTTATGATGAACATTTGTAGAAAGGTGACTGTGGCGGGAGGGGGGCAAGCTTGCTACCATTTTCGTCTGACCATGTTAAAATCTGTTAAAATTTATGGCCTGAGTTGTATTACTAGCCTCGGCATTACCGTCAAATAGCCTGAAGTGAAGGCGTTACTTTGGCTTTCAGCCTGAACAAGCGTTTTACGCTGTTTTCTTCCGAATGTTTCTCCTCTGAAATTTCGTTGCAAAACGTAAAGTAACTGAGGAAATGGCAAGAAAAATCGAACCTGTTCGCACCTGCTGGATAACGTTTCCATGCATGATAATAGCGTTTAAGCGCCAGCGCGGCAGTATTGGGCGTCTCGTGTCATACAAAGTCTGCAGCTACCCATTAGCATTCGTTTATCCCCGAGACCTGAAGCCAATTATGCCGCACCCAAATAAAATCGTGAGCATCACGCGAACCTTATGAACTTAAAATCGATCGTGGTGCACTAAATACAGTTTTGCGATCACTCGAGAAATTGCGGACGAAGTAGATCAGTCAAAGGAAACCACGGCTGGACTGTGTAGATGCCGGGAACATGACAAACATATCTCTTTTACGCGTGGCTCAATTCACCTGTAATTTTGCAGACAATACATGGAGTTGGTTTTCCGATCAGCGTTATGGTACAAGACTGGAGCGAATCTGAGCTCAGAAGTTCATTTACGGTTTATTCTTATGGTCTTTCTTCCCATATTTCCCTCCCCCCATCACACACACACATACATACATTGCCAACCTATTATTCAAGGCCTCGATTCCAGCTGGCTCCAAAAATAATTTCCCATCAGCAGAAACAAGATGGCCGTTGGCGTTTAAAGGTGACCTCGATAAGTGATAACTCGCTGCATGGATATCTGTGTTTGACGATGATAACGACGATTGGGGATTTAGGGTGCGTCGGCCTCAAAGGTCCTATTGCGCCATCTGTGTTTGACTGTGCGGGGAGTTGGTGCCGACCCTGCCACCATGCAGTTCGAATTTTCATTGAGCCGTCAGCCAAGGCGGGCTCGTTTCCCCGTCAATGTCCAGGTGAGTCGGAGTGAGGGGCGGCGCCAAGGATTTTGAGATAGGAGGCAGAACTTTTCATGGGGCCTCCCGGACAACAGGGAGCCCCTTCACAAGGGGGACCTTCTGGGAAGTATCGTACTCAAGGGGGAAAGGGGATACATATCTCCTTAATACATTGTTACATGTATCATATCCATGCAAAGAAGCATCGACAATTTGACAATTCAGAATTGGGGCCTTCTGACCAACACAGGGATATTTTCGATCCCGCAAAGGCCCCCCAATCTCAAAAACCTTCTGTTGCAGAAGAGTCTACTGATGCATAGATAGACCTCCTTTTCCAGATCAGGATCATTCCGATTCACAGAAGGTCTTCAAACTCAGCAAAGTGCCTCGTTATTCCAAACCAGGCCATCCCGATCCCGCAACGCGACCATCCAGTGCATGACAGAGGCCTCCACGAAGGGATAGCATATCCAGCTACCGCCCCAAAACAGAACGAATCGACACGATCGTAACGCGCGTCATCACAGTTGCACAAAATGAACAGTTGGAGTCCCATCTTGATGGGCAACGCATGCCCGTTCCGACGTCTCGCTAGCTTGAGAGTTACCAGCGGACAGTGTGGCGGGGGTGGGGCACCAATGCCAGGCCGTCCGCAGAACACAATGGAGGGAGCCAGAGGGAAAGCACTGACAAGCAGAGTCGCGCGTACCAGCTACGGCAGCTTCCCTGAGCAGCGTTGCGGACCGTGTGAGGAAAAAAAGAAAACGTCCGGTGGACCACACACAAGTAACAGCCACAGCCCAAGGGGAGCACACAGAGATTGACGGAGATCACGGTGGGCGGGTAAGACCATGCTGTATGTACACAGAAATGTCACAGATGTGCCCGCAGGTCGCCGACAGACGAGGGTCGCCCACCGCAAACCCGGAAAACCAAGGGCCAACAGACGCCAGCAACTAACCATGGATCGTCCCAGACTGAGCTGCATGAGCTCCTCAGCACTGGCGAGCATCGACCCCAGCCCATGGGCAGGCTAGCTCCAGCAGTGTCCCAGTGAGTTCCGACCATAGTGGTAACAAGCCTGATCCACGTGGTGGAGAGACAGCACAGGGGTGTGCTCAGACAGCGGCCTATGAAACGACGACGGTGGTGAGCGGTCGGGCAGATGTCATACCGATGCCAGAGGACGGACGCCTGGTCTGCTAACTGTCCCTCACCTGAGTGCCAGGAACACATCAAAGGTGGGTGCAGCCATGCTGCCTCCGAAACAGGCCAGCAGCACCAGCAGGCAGGCAGCTATGGTGCGCAGGCGGCCCACCTTGTCCGCCAGTGGACCCATTAGTGGTGCTGCCACCATCAGGCCAGCCATGAAGGCTGACTGGCAGCCCTTGGCACGGTAGGCCTGGTCACACACCAGGTTCCACTGCAACAGGGAAAGATCACAGATTGTCATCTAGTGGAATGGTGCTGGGCAACAATTAGTCAATGGAAATTGATGCAGATGAAGTCAAATACCTGTGAACTTTTCAATTGTCTGGGAGCCTCTGTATTTGATTACTACTATTATCCAGCTAAAATGTGTGTGGTAATCCAGGCTCCATGCTTCATTAATGACCCATACATCAGAACTTAGCTGTGTGCATCACACAACATACCCACCTCTGTGACAATAGTTGAGTAGTTTGAGTTGTAGACTAATCTGGCACACTTGGCTGCTTCATTGTCAGGACATGCATTAAGCAAAGGAGCTGAGCCATCTTCACTAGGGTAGCACTCAAACTCAGGAGCAAAGGCTATAAAAGAAAGTGCATTGAATGGCACACACAAACACTAATTTTTGCACAGACAGGTGGTGACCCACGACCATTTTAAGTCACCAGTCCTCACACAGTGACATAAACTGAGGAAGTACACAATGTAAGGCATGTGATGCACTGAGGCCTCCAGGAAATCAATAGTTACATCATGGCTTCAAGTGTGGTCAGAACCAAGCTGGCATATACATTCATGTCATCTCTGAATGTATTCACAGCACAAATCAGCTAAATTTAAATAACTGATTCAGCAACCTGTCCATTTGTTATGCACAATAACTCACCTGTAAATTCCATATTTAAATTAATTGATGCTATGTATACCTGGGCTAAGGATATCACCAGCACATACTTCTTTTGAGCTGGTCCAAACTCCCCAATATGGGAGAAGACTTCATCAATGTCCATATTGACACTGGAATGTGCTTATGCCACACAATGAGAATTCCAAGACCTGAAAAACTGTACTGTTATTTTTCATCCAGTGACCATTTCTGAGACAATCAATGGAAAATTACTTCTTGCAATGAAGCAATGAACAAGTGATACCAAGGGCCTTCTAGGATTTTGTTTGTGCATGGCTTATAAAAAAATTGGAGAAAACCTACATCACAATAATGGTGAAAAAGAATGATAATGAAAGGTCAGTATCAAGTTGCATAATGAAATGACAGCAGAAAGATATAGTTCATGTTTTGTGCCAAACATCACTGCTATCAACCACAGTAGTTATAAAACACTCCCTGATCATTTCTGCTGTAATTTACGGTGGTTGAAACCACCTTATCTAAAGCATTTACTTGCAGAACTTTTGAGTCACAGCATATGCTGTTTTATCTGCTCAATAAAACTCTTGGGTACGACACTGCTATAGATCTGTGCTGCCAGCATACTACATAATGTGAGAGGCAAGTTACCATCACACATGGCTGCTGTCATTAGGTTTGCATTTTACACCATAAAGTTACTGCTCATGATTACAGCACTCAAATTAAAATTAACATGCGTGCCCATAGTGCCTGCAGTGTACGTGATGTAATAATGATTCATTGATAGTGATGATTATTTTGCAGCTTATTAGTACTGCACAATAACTGGTCAGCATTAGCATTCACCCTTCACTCAATGAAACAAAAAACAAAATGTTTGATAGGTGGAATCCAACACGTACTTAACAACACGACATACGCTAAGGCAGAAAAAGCATGTTAAAGGTCTTTATGGATCATATTAAAAAACTGAGCAGGGCCAAGAACCTAATTTACCGGCTGCTGCCCATTGTATGTGCCTAAATAGCTCTTATTGCCCAGATCCACACGTAATCACTTAACAACTGCTGCGAACAACCAAACACAACATTCCACATGCACGAATATGCCCATCCAAGCGTTGTCAGAACCACAACTGCTTCCAATCACAAGCTGCCAACTTTCTGGTGGAAACGGAATCCGGACAGTCGCTGTACTAAATCGAGTGGGTTTCTAGTATTAAACTGAAGTTTTCCGATTACTTTTAGCCCTACACGTATCTTTCACCACTCAGCTTGATGCTTGCATTTCGTACACTTCGATCTTTTGCGCGGAAATGAGGTTTTTGCCGAGTCGCTGACACTTGCTCATTGTCATGGCATCGCCTTCAGTGGATTCATGGCCAGCGCGGGATCTACGTTACACCCTGCACCAGCGAAACCAGCATTTCATCAAAGAGGAAGCCAAATGAGGGTGTGAGGGCTATTTCAGCAGGCGTCACGACATTGGTGCCAGGGCAAAAACTCCTACCGACAGAAGTGCTACATCAGGTATAACGGACAATACTTCTACTACAAAACTTATCCAGACTTTACTTTTATCGCAAAAACGTGTACAGCCTTTACTTATACGCGACCTTACTTTTACTGCAAAGACTTGTACACGACATGAGTGCTACACGACAGAAGTTATGCTTCATAATTTTCTATACGTCATCACACGTACTGCAAAAAACTTAAAGAGTTTGTGCTCACACACTACATTACTTCTACCGCCAAAACTCACACACGATATGAATGCTAGACGACAAAAGTATATATATATATACATATATATATATATATATATATATATATATATATATATACATATATATGTATGTATGTATATATACATATATGTGCATATGCATATATATATATATATATATATATATATATATATATATATATATATATATATATATGCATGTATGTATAGCGGAAAGAGGGACAAAGCTGACACCTTAACGTTTTTCAATATGGGGAGTACATAATTCTGTCCAGAAAGTCGTAAGCAGGTGGATACCGAAGGCTGATCAATTGTCTATCTCTTTTAAAAAACGCTGGTTTGATATCTCTTCATGTTAAAGTGTGATCCTCCTAAATATCAGGCAATGTTTTTTCCTCATTTTGGCGCTGGCTTGGGGTAAAACGAAGCAGTATTCCGGGCAAAACGGACAAGTGAGGATACTAAATAAGCGACATGAATATTTTCAAAGTTATCATTTTTAATTAAAACGCATCATTAAATGCATAGCTCGGTGGGTAGGTATTTGTCTGGACATCCAATAGCTATACTTCTTATGTTTGGGCTCTCATATTTTGCTCGAACCATACCACTCCATACTTGTTTCCTCATTAAGATCTCACGAATAAAAGTTATAATGGCCAGCAAATGTGTATTACAGCTTGGTATGAAGCGACAGCCATTGCTGCATGGCTTAGGCACAGAACTAGAGGAACACAGCCTGGTGGTTACACAATGAGACGACAAAGTCATCGACCAAAGTTCGATCAGGAACACTCACTCGTTCTGCTCATCAATCCACTTCTTAGTCACTGTGAACGCAAAACACGAAAAGAGCACAGCCTAGTGGATCCGTCATCAGATACGACCAATGACGAAACTAGGCAATACATCAGCCTGCCTAGCCATCCCGGCACAGTTCGCACACGAACACACACTCGTCCTTTTCATCAATCCCTGCACAGGCATCGTGCGCCCATTTATCGCAGAGAGCACATCGCGACCAAGACTCGTTCGATTTGGACATGGAGAAGAAGGACCCGCAGTACAGACAAGCCACATCTTCTTTGTCCGAGGACTCTCAAAGGTAAGCTTTCGCGGCGTACGCTTCTCTTGTTAGTGCTGCGGTTTCTGAGTTTCCACATTCCTCCTTTTCTTCCTTTAGACTGAATTCTGTCGTCATTTTTCTTTCCTCCCTGTCTACCTTCTTTTTCCTTCGAGTCTCTTCTCGAGTTCCCCCTCGTATGGTGTGCCAGTCAAGACACATGTTTACCTTTCTTTCGTCCTTTACCTCTCTCCTCCCTTGAGTGCACTTTTGTCACAGGGAGGATTTCGCGGGGAGACACATACGAGCTTGCGGGTGTGTCATTTTGATCTTGGGAAGCATGGCTCGGTCCAGCTGAGCATGACACTTCTAGAACGTCATCTTCGTCATCGCTAGAGCTTGAGAAATCGTCTGGCAGAGCCCCAGTGGTGAGCAACTTCGCCGGAGTTTCGGCATTAGTCGAGGTTCCCTGCCCTGATATTCCAGCATGCGTTGCGTCTCCGGCGACAGTTTCCGAGGACTCCCGAACGTTCATGCTCACCGAGACATCAACGTCAGAGGGTCCAGGCATGGGCAAAGGAGCTGCTGCTGAGTTGAGACCCACTGGTGCGTCTGCGGTGCCGATCAGCGGGATGTTCGTTGTTTCTGCCGCTGCGAAGCCTTCTTCGCCAAACACATGGCGGTTTGCGGGAAAGATCCCCGTGACTTCGAAGCCCTTCAACGCCGTCTTCACTGTTGCCGCCTGCACGTAGGCTGACCCAATCAGCTCCCCCATCTCATACAGTGTGATGACTTTATCAGGGTTGTTTCGGAGCCACGTTCTCTGATCTTGGAAGAAGAAGGTGCTGACGGGAAGCATGAACGTCCAGTCCAGTGGTTGAAGGCGGTGTGAGGTGTGAGGAGGCATGGTGAGCATCACCACACCTGCTTCCCTGCACAGTAGGATGGCTGCGAGGCTCTTGGTGTGGCTGGCATGTCCATCCAGTATGAGAAGGACCGGATCCTGTTTCGAGGGCTTCGCGTGCAGTATGAAATGGTTAAGCCATTTCACGAGCAGCTCCTTCTGCATCCAACCAGACTCATGGTACAGCACCAGGCTACCTGGGGGAAGACCCTTCTCCAACTGCTGGTTGGCACTCTTTCCTGGAAATATCACACCTGGAGGTATGTAGCTCCCCGCAGCGTTGATACACATCACCTCGGTAACCAGCGTGCCTCGTTCCGCAGATGTCAGTTGGCCGACGTGCTTGCACCCTTCCCTCGCCAGCACCTTCTCTTGTTTTGTTGCGGCCGTCTTGAGTCACGTTTCATCCATGTTGTAGATGCGTGTGGGACCGAACTGGGCAGAATCCATCTGCGACTCAAGGTTGTCGAAGAACGCGTTGACATTGACTGAGTTGAACGCCGCGGCGCGAGCAACTCTTGTGGCCTTTGGTGCCCTTAGTGAGACCGCGGGGTTCCTCTTGCGGAAGCGCCGTATCCGCGCCTCCCCTGCCATCTTCGGCACCGTGTTGAATGGGTGAATGATTTTGTTTCTGTCTGCGAACTCATATGCGAGCTTCTTGAGATCAGTCAGCGTTATTCCGAACATCCGGTTTTGGAGCTCCATTATGTGCTGTACCAAATCTCGCTCCTGAGCTTCCATGAAAACAGGTTTGTGTCAACCCAGGACCTTCTCTGTGGCCTCTGTTCCTGACATTGCTCGCGCCTTTTTCAGGCGTCTGTCGAGAGTCGACTTCGGGACCAGAAAGCGGCGTGCCGCTTCTTTGGTGGACATTTCCCCCCTTGACTGCTTTGATGGCCGTTGCCATTGTATCCTGCTTCCAGGATTGCCGATCGATTTTTCTCCTGTAATTTCGAACCATTCTCCGCCTAGCGGAGTAGTTCCTCTGTAAAAAAAGAACGTCAGCGTGAACGTTGAACGGATTTGGGAGGGTCATTTGCCCCTTAAGCCCACCCCCTTCCCACCCCTCCCTGGACCCATCAGTGTACCTATATTCCTTTTTGTAAACTGGGGAAACGTTTACCTGCTATGAAAAATTAAGTACAATTATCAAAGCCAAATACCTATGTGCATGCCTCTAACTAGTTGGTAATAGGGTATTTCATTTCTTGCGTTAAATTAGTTAGGTTAAATATTACGGACGAAATGATAAAACACCTTCTATGTAATACTTAACAATAAGTTAGTCCTAATGTTTAAGGAACAAGAAACCGTTGAATTATTTAATCATTTCAGAAAACAAAACATTGAATCGTATATGTTTGAAGGGAATGCAAGGCTTTTCCCACTTTATTGGAGTTAGCTAGCGGTTCTGGGCACAACATGATAAATAAACATGAAAACTTACTACAGTTTGCTGGGTCTTGCCCACACGCAGATGAAAGAAAACTTAAATTAATGTTTTTACACCAGTTCTGTCAGACAGAGTACCTATGCGTTAGTACTTACAGCCAGTGCCTGTGTATGCAAAGAAATACACCCTTTAAATGTACGGAAAATACGAAATGTTCTGTGAGTTTTATGCGCTAATGACCAAAAATGTGTTAGCTTTTCCGTAAAACAGTCGTGTATTTTTTTATGGCATGGGCTGCCACCGTACCAAAGTGATGCCTTGCACCATCCCGTCCATCACCGCCACATTCCCGGCTCCTGTAAGCGCGGTGGTCTACGAAATTTTTCACGATACAGTAATACTTCGTGTGCAAGCTTTCTGCAGCTTCCGTTCTTCACCGCCGCATATGCCAGTGTTTGCCAAAGTATCACGGCGCGTGAATTCATACATTTACTCCCTGCACAGCCTGCTATTCGGCAGAAATGAAACCTTACAGACTCTGGTGTATCACCACCGAATTGCTATTGCCTGGAAACACGCACTTGTGCCTTTGCTACACTGCTGGTGTAGGTTCCTGTCCATTACAGGCACACGCTACTGCCCGTTCATCAAGACACCACGTCACATGTATTGTTCGCACGTGGCCACATCAAGCACCATCAAAGAGGAAATAACCGGCCGGCCCCTGCGCCGGGGAAGACGACGACAAAGCGGACGTGAATGAGCCTCAGGAGAGCGACGTGTCAAACACGGACACCGCTCAGAACCTGCGTAATTTGCAGGCGGCCATTGGGAGGCTCCGGAAGCCAACCGACACAGCGCGGCATATTTCGGTGCAAATATTGTAGTTCGAGCGTGACGGTAAGCGGTGTTGTGGGGTGGCGCCGCGTCACGGTGAAGCATGGGAGCATGCGGCACGGCAGCACGCCTCACACGAGATCTCCAGGGAAACTTTCTGTACGCCAAGCCGGTCACAACACAACACATCACGCTCATGCCAGACAGTTGGCCGACTCGCAAAGAGATGCCTGGCGCAGCACCTGTCCGACATCTGAGAGACAACGTCAGATGCCACCAGTCTCGGATTCATTTCATCAAGCAAGAAGACGGGCCTGCGATGCGCCGGCCCACAAAGGAGCATGATCAGACGTTTTGATGGGCAACTGGTCTCCCTATCATAACTGAAATATTTACGCACAGCGTGTATGTACGATAAAGAAATAAACACCCAAGGTTGGCCTGCTATTTGTCACACAATCGCCACTCATGCTGAAGCACACATCAGTCGTCTTAACGGGCCTACGGGGACGGTCACTGAGGTATGTAAGCCCCCAATCACAAACAATTTCACCTTTTTTGTTCCACCTCTGCCTCGGTAACCAGTACACCGAGTGCGCTAATTCGGAGGGTAATAAGCCACTGTTTTCTGCGCAAGCCGCATTATTTACATGAATGGATATACCGTTTGTTGACGTAGGTGGTCATGGATGGCGTCATAAGCCGGGCCAAGTAAACAGAGCTGACTGATTTGGGCGACACTCTTTGACCGCGAATACAGGATTTTGAGAGCTTCCAAATCTTAGAGCGGTGGGTGCATACAGATATTACCCAAACGGCATATCCTAGTTTCCCTGGTTTTATGGTAAGAAAGGTAATGCCAAGCCACATAGGGCGATTGCCTCCTCTGCATGTCACGCATGGTTATCTGTGTTTATAGATCGCATTTTTGCAGCAACCCCAAAAAGTGACCAACAGCCAAAACATTGACAACAAATTATTCTACGTAAATGTAAAATTATTTCCACATCAGTAGAAACGAGTACTGCGCTGTGCAATCTTTGTAACTGCACTCACACCGACCTGCTGTTGTACTTAATACGGCTCGTCGGAGACCTTCAGGATGTGCGACAAACACAAAGCCGAGCATTGTATCCCGAAAACTGAGCACTCGGTGACTCAATATATCCACCTCACTTAGATACCTGCTGAGGTTTGCCTTAGATTGTGGTCTTGTATCCTTCATGTCTTAAACAGAGGAGCAATATCATCTACGTTCAAAACGGGTGATCAGTTGGCACCCACGGGCAGCTCGGATTTGAGAACTCCCGGAGCTTATCTCGTCCATGAGGCATACATGGAATTCCTAACGTAGATATGGTGGGTGGGCTTCAACAACCGGGTGGTGTCGGATCTAAGGGGCACATATTTATTTTTTCGGACTGAAGGTTAAGCTTTAGGCGATACAAATTATCAGGGGTTTTGGTCCAGTCATAGCGGAGTACACCAGTGTAGTCCACGAATCGCTCGTGGTTTCGCAATCTACGCAGGGTTTCTGTAATTTTCGCAGCTTGCCTTAGTGCTCCTTTACTATCATTCGACGAAGCAAAAGGAAACATCGAAAAAAGGTGGTGAGTATTGCCAGAAATTGCACGTGCTCTATGCCAGCCACAAGGAGGCTGTCGTCTCACGGTGCATTCATATCTAGCTAATCAGCTGCTTTTACTTGTATTGTTTTTTGCAGGGAATTTCAGTCATTATTTCAAGGTACAAAAACATTAGAAAGCCGCCTGCTTCTCGAATCACCCAGGAAATCGCGGGTGAAGGTGGTGAGTGACGAGCTGATGCATGTGACATGGTTTAGTCACGTCAGTAACGTGACTGTATGAAACTCGAATGCCTGCGATTGAAAAGCTCTAACATTACGTCCAGCGAAGACAAAATCTACTCAATACACTCCGGTTGGAAAACAACAAATTATGAATGTTGTGAGCCAGGTTGCAAACTGAAAGCTGTTGGGAAATTGTCTCAGCACACGGGCTGCATAATGGAAAGGGCTTTTCCTTTTTACTACCACTCAGCTCTTAGTGTATACAAATTTAGGAGACACCCGCATTCCATCATGAAATCCACTTCCGCAGCATGTATCTGATGACATTCCAACGATTCCCGATTTTAAGCCCTTCGTGATTCGCGCGATGCAATTTCGGAGAGTGCTGACTGCAAAACTCTGCTGGCCTGTTATGTGTCCAGTCCTCTAGTCGGGGCATGACCAATCGCAGCCTAAATCCGTTGGAGTCCCGTTGAGGTCGGATTGTGCAGTCGCTGGTAATACGAATTCAGGTCGGCATGCCACTGACAACAATAAGTTTTCCAAAACAGACTAGACGCACCGACTGGCGAGTTCAGTCACGCGCTGCATGCGACCCTCAACGCACGGTGACACGTTACGCTAGTGTGCCCAATAATAAGCGCTGTGAAAAAACATGCTGTGGTAAAATTTGCCAGGTCGAAAGCAGCCCAGGCTTGTACCTGCTTCGAGGGATGAAAAATGATCCAATCAGTTGGCAAAAACACCTGGTGCAGCATTTGAGATGCATGATGCAATGCCGTATTTTGGCCCTCTTTACTCTTTCGCGTCGTATTGTGGAACTGATTGCATTATGGCCGACCAACGCAACAACTGAACCCCATTTGTAAATTGGTCATCCTATCCAGCTGTCGGCACGGAAAAGGTCCGATAAAACACTCATAAATGACAGCACAGTCGCTTCTATCAAACATAGCGCGACAGCAGATGACACTGTGTCTGACCACACACCAGCCTCAGATGACATTGTGGCTGACAACACACAAGCTGCAGATGACTGACAACACAGCTGTCGCAGATGATGCACTGTACCTGACAACACACCGGCCGCAACTGGCTGAAAACTCACCAGTCACAGACCACACACTGTATCTGACAACACACGAGCAGCAGATGACACACTGTGTGTGACAACACACGAGTAGCAGATGGCACTATATCTGGCAACACACCAGCAGCAGATGACACACTGTGTGTGACAATACACCAGCAGCAGATGAGACTGTATCTGACGGCATACGAGCAGTAGATGACACACTGTATCTGACAAAACACGAGCAGCGGATGACACACTGTGTGACAATACACCAGCAGCAGATGACGCACTGTATCTGACAACACACGGGCAGCGGATGACGCGCTGTGTGTGACAACGCACCTGCAGCAGATGACACACTGTGTGTGACAACGCACCAGCCGCAGCTCCCAGCACCATACCTCTGCCCATTCAGCGGAAGCCAAGACGTGTCTGGACCGCTACTGCCGCGAACATTGAGACCCTGGACGCAACACAGCGACAGTGACGGCGCACGGCTCTTACATCGCGGCCACTCGCGGCCGTGCCACAGTGAGCTTCACCGCCCGCCCCACCATCTGTCGGTGAGCTTTCGCCCCCGCTGGGGGCTGGCTCTGCACGGGCGAGCAGCTGATGCACGCTCACAGCGCACAACACTGGCCGGCACGTAACCTCAGGAAGTCTCAGCCGGCGGCAGAGGCGCTGGGCGCCCTTAGCTCTGCCGTCGGGGACCGCTATCACAGTGAGGGTCAATGCCAGTCGTGACATGACGCCCTCTCCCGGTCATCGCTGGCAAGGATGCCCACCCCTCACCGAACTCCCGGTCATCGCTAGGGGGGATGGCTACCCCTCACCGAAATCCCGGTCACCACTGGCGAGGATGGCCACCCCTCACCGAAATCCTGGTCACCACTGGCGACGATGGCCACCCCTCACCGAACTCCCGGTCATCGCTAGGGGGGATGGCTACCCCTCACCGAAATCCCGGTCACCACTGGCGAGGATGGCCACCCCTCACCGAAATCCTGGTCACCACTGGCGACGATGGCCACCCCTCACCGAACTCCCGGTCATCGCTAGGGGGGATGGCTACCCCTCACCGAAATCCCGGTCACCACTGGCGAGGATGGCTTCCTTTCACCGAACTCCCGGTCACCACTGGCGACGATGGCCACCCCTCACCGAAATCCTGGTCACCACTGGCGACGATGGCCACCCCTCACCGAACTTCCGGTCATCACTAGCGGGGATGGCCACCTCTCACCGAACTCCCGGTCACCACCGGCGAGGATGGTCATGCCTCACCGAACTCCCGGTCACCACCGGCCAGGCTCAGTGCCTTATCTGCACTCTCTCGGTCATCAGGGGTAAGGCCGACTGCCCTGCACCGCACTCCGTCCTACACCACACTCTCTCGGTCATCAATGGTAAGGCCGACTGCCCTGCACCGCACTCCGTCCTACACCACACTCTCTCGGTCGTTTCTAGGGAGCGTCCGCACCATGGTGTGCCGTCGCGGGTTGAAGGTGCCGAACGTGAGGACTGCACCCCTGCCGTCCCGGCCCGGCCTCGTCAGGGTCAGGTCCCCATCGTTGATGCTTTCCTGCCGGCGGTACCAAGTCAAGGTCAAGCAAGGTACCGGACACAACGACGTTAGACGTAAAAGCCAAAGCAGAACAAAAGAAGAACTAAAAAAGAAGGAAAACGCGGCAAATGTGAGATGACTGGTGACGAAGTCTATATTTCGGTCTGTGTAAGTGCAGAGAGTGACTTATGTGCGCTCAGACCATCACCAACTGCGTCGACAGACATCACCAACTATTTTATTTGTTCGTGAGCGGTCGAGCGCCGAGCTCAAACGACGGATTAGTGCGTTATCTTACAGCGAAGATGGAGTCTCCCCGGTCACTACAGGCACCGGCTAGCAGCCGCTGCCGTTGACATCTCAGCGGACTATGCGCTATTTAACACACCACGCGCTGGAAATGGGGATCCAGCCTACCACAGTGTGCAGGCTGTGTCTAAAAGCAGACGGCTGAACGTAACCGACTGGTGGAGTTAACGGCTCTGCATCGGGGGACATTGCGCACGCCTGCAGCAGCCGGCCCTGCGATGCTGCCCCTGACCTGGATGACATTGCCCTTGTGGGGGCTGCCGGGAAGGAGGCCTGACGTAAGAGAATGTCTCCTCGTTGAATTCACGTTCAGGTGATTCAGCAGATGTGGCGTCGGCACTGGCTCGTAACTGGACGCTGCCGGCGGAGATCAAAGGTCATCACTTGGCAGAATGCCTGCTTTCATCTCTTTTTAATATTACGATGGGTACAAGGCAGCGGACGCGCCTGCAACGTACGTCCCAGATCCCTGCAGACTGCGGGCGTTCCATTCGCCCGGCCTGTGGCTCTTAAACTGCCGTGCTGTTCGGTTATGTCAAGGACCACGCCCACGTGAACAAGACAGCAAACCTCCAAAAGTTGAAGGCCGTCGTGAGGCCTGTGATGGGATGCGTCACCTTCGGCATGATGACCGGACATTCAAACACCTGCAGCAAGTTCGGCTGTGGCGCATCCCGAACCGCCAGGAGGCCCAATTTGAACATCTTCTGTAGTTACGATTTGGCGACTGTGGCACTTCTGATGACTTTCTCTGCCACTGATCGTGTTTTGCCGTTGAACTGGCAGTCGAGTCGGCAGTTGAGCTACCGTCGAACCGCAGGCGTGGCTGCGCCACAAATACACTCGCCCCTGTTGCTTAACTGTTAACGGACGACTCTGTATAACGGCGGGGAGGCATGTTCTTACCGGACATGTTCGGTACGACGTCCGGATTCCGGTCCGTGTCGTAGAGCTTAGCTCCGACCTCTGCGTCAACAGCCGCCGATCTCTGCTTGACTTTCACGGATGAGTTTAAAAGATGCGTCTGGACCGCCGGTTTTCTTCGGCTTCGACTGAAATCGGATTATAGCATCGTATTAAGCTGTAAGATGGTACTACTGCTTAGTGACATATTATACCGTTGACAATAGCGCTTTATATGTGGTAAAAGGACATGCTGCTTTTGTTTGTGATCAGTTATTGAATCCCGTAACATTTCAAAAACACGTTTTTGAAGGAACTTGTGCGCACTACTATTCTAAATAACGTGGAAACAATATCCGCAGGGTCTTCGCAGTCTTCTCATCAATCTCAAAGGCATACCACAGTGCATCGCTGCAAGCTTTTGAAGGATTCGAAACAAATCATGCAGGTGACGTGCGTCTTTTAGACGTTTAAACACAATTACCTCTTTCAAATGAAAGTCATGTGCTACATGATAGCTTAAGTCCTGAAATACAGTTATTCCAGATAATGGAGCAAATTATTTATTGTGAACAATTCAGGAGATCCGGTACAATATTGTGCATTAGACATCCACGTGGTTTTTCCGCCAGATTTCATGCGAGCCTGTGAATCCTCGACAAGACGGTCTCGACTCTGTGAACACTCGACAGGGTGGCCTCGACTCTGTGAACACTCGACAGGGTGGCCTCGACTCTGTGAACTCTCGACAGGGTGGCCTCGACTCTGTGAACTCTCGACAGGACGGTCTCGACTCTGCGAATCCTCAACAGGACGATCTCGACTCCGTGAATCCTCAACAGGACAGTCTCAACTCTGTGAATCCTCGACAGGACGGTCTCAACTCTGTGAATCCTCAACAGGACGATCTCGACTCCGTGAATCCTCGACAGGACGGTCTCGACTCTGTGAATCCTCAACAGGACGGTCTCGACTCCGTGATCCTCAACAGGACGGTCTCAACTCTGTGAATCCTCGACAGGACGGTCTCGACTCCGTGATCCTCGACAGGACGGTCTCAACTCTGTGAATCCTCAACAGGACGGTCTCGACTCCGTGATCCTCAACAGGACGGTCTCAACTCTGTGAATCCTCAACAGGACGGTCTCGACTCTGTGAATCCTCAACAGGACGGTCTCGACTCCGTGATCCTCGACAGGACGGTCTCAACTCTGTGAATCCTCAACAGGACGGTCTCGACTCCGTGATCCTCAACAGGACGGTCTCAACTCTGTGAATCCTCAACAGGACGGTCTCGACTCCGTGATCCTCGACAGGACGGTCTCGACTCTGTGAATCCTCAACAGGACGGTCTCGACTCCGTGATCCTCGACAGGACGGTCTCAACTCTGTGAAGCCTCGACAGGGTGGTCTCGACTCTATGCCATCAGCTGGGCCCCTGACCTGCTGCCTTTGATGCACGCCACCACGCCGATGGCGACAATGATGAGGGAGGCCACGATGCCGATCAGGACGCCCAGGATCGGCGTCACAGTGAACCGCTGCTCCTCCGCCGGTTCTGTCAACAGTGGGGAGGGACTGCCTATCCTGCCGTGTCTCGCATTCGGCACCGGGATATTTTTCACATCTAACCCACAATGATCGGTGGCGGGGTGGGGGGGGGGGGGGGAGGGGGAGGGGATGGGGTAGGGGTAACGCAACATTTTGCGGGCTGTGATTATTAATGTCATCCGACCATTATGGAGTGATTTTTTCCACTTCGTAAACGTTCCAGACACATAGAATATTGATCCTGAGTCTACGAACCGCTGCACACGGCGCCATACGGCAGTGCTCGACAGAATACACCAGGCTGTGTTAGAGCTACGTGCAGCCGTGGAAGGTAGCCCTTTCTCCTTCTTTGCGATTCGCTGACCTGCAGGCTGGTCCGTGCCGCCGCCGCCGCCGCCGCTGCTGCTGCTGATGCGCTTCTCGGCCGCCTTAAGCGTGAAGCCGTCCAGCGTGATGGCTCGGCTGCGTCCGCGGCTGTTGGCCGCGTACAGCTCGAGCCGCAGCTCCAGCCCCGGCGGCAGCTCCAGCACCGCGAAGTGGGGGAAGGGCCGGGTGAGGTTGCGTACCAGCCGCCGGCCAGCCACGTCAAACAGCTCGGCCACGAAGTACTGCGGCAGACCGCCGTCGAAGCCGGCCGCACACTTCACCTCCAGCGAGTCGGACGTCTGGTTGATGACGGTGCAGTTCCGCAACGGCTCCGGAGGACCTGCCGGAGATGATGCCAGAGTCGGATAGGGCGAATATTTTACATCTCAAATCTATTTGACACCGGCTATAAGTTAAAGCCCAAATGCGCAAAGACAGATCTAAGCCGATTGCTCTCAATGGTAAATCAAATTGTGAATTAAGCACATCGTTCACAAACATCAGCGGCGCACCATCGCTCTTCCTCTCACCAGCAGGAACAATGTTGAAGACGCAGGGCTTGACCATGGGACCGATGTCGTTCTCCGCCGTACAGAGCAGCGTGCCGTAGTCCAGCTCCGTCTTGGGCGTGTAGGAGGAGCGGCTTTCCAGGCCCCGTGAGACAATCTGAGGACAGATCACCGTGTTCACGAAACAGCTGGGTGCAGCCGTTAATATTGAAACGTTATCGTGTTTCTGCGCTGGAAAGTCACGGCGAAGGTCGTACGAGAAACAAGGTGAAAATCATTAATGCAGTAAGAATCGGTGCTTTCCCATGGTGCATTCGGATGGACTCGGTTCTTGCAGGAGTCTTCCACAAACGTTTAAGGGTACGTGGAATCGTGAAGAAGTGTTCGTCATCTCTGGCGCTCAGCAATCCACTGATCACAAGTCGTTTGCGGTTGGTGACTGCAGACAGTGAGGTTGGCTAGGCGCTCTTGCCAACATCAAGTCGACATGACTCTCTCAAGGCGACACACCGCTTGCAAGTGGGGAGATGGATAACACAAAGAGGTGACGTGTGCCAGCCTTCCCACCTCACACGATTCCTCTCTTCGCCACCCCTTCTCCCCTCCTCCAACCAGCCAAAAGACTGTGGTGCACAGGCGTCTTATTTCAACCTTGCACTTAAGCCCTCCTCCGTGAGCAGCAGCGGCATTAGCATGGCATCACGTTCTCCAAACTAGGCAAAATCAAAGACGAGACGTATTGACAGTCCTCCAAAGCCGCAATCACATCTCCTTTCAGTCCGAGTCGCCGGGCTTCGACCGAACTGACCTGTGAGAATGGCAGGTCAAGCGTCTCTGCCGAGCTGTTGAACTGCCACCTGTAGGTGACGCCTGCCGGACTGACCTGTGAGAATGGCAGGTCGAGCGTCTCTGCCGAGCTGTTGAACTGCCACCTGTAGGTGACGCCTGCCGGACTGACCTGTGAGAATGGCAGGTCGAGCGTCTCTGCCGAGCTGTTGAACTGCCACCTAAAGGTGACGTCTGCCGGACTGACCTGTGAGAATGGCAGGTCGAGCGTCTCTGTCGAGCTGTTGAACTGCCACCTAAAGGTGACGTCTGCCGGACTGACCTGTGAGAATGGCAGGTCGAGCGTCTCTGCCGAGCTGTTGAACTGCCACCTAAAGATGACGTCTGCCGGACTGGCCTCCACCTGACATGTGACGCGCGCCGCCTCGTTCCGGGCCCTGCCGTACCGGCTCTTCTGGCCCGACACACACACGGGCGCGTCTGTGGCCAGAGCACGCCGGTCAGTAACCATGGCAGAGGGGGCAATCATAATGGGCAGGGACCACGGCAGCATCCGCGCGGCCTGGACAGTGAACGCCAAGCAAAACATAAGAACGGCGGCGGCGCGGCACGAGGTACGTTCCCACATACGAGGCAAGGGAAGACTTCGGGTCAGTCGATTTCCAATAGCGTTATTTATGAATTAGCGCCATCACGCCACATCTTTGAAACCGCGATCGCTACAGCGTGTCAGGCAGCCCACTTAAGGCAGCGATCAGACACATTTGTGAAGGTTTCTTAAGGTCCCTGGTCGCATCAAGTTTTGGTATCACCAAATGACCGTAGATTGATTACTCCCGCATGCCATCACCTCTCTCGACTTACACCGTACGCTGAGAAGTAGTATTTAAGCTGTGCTCGAAGTGCTAAACCACGGGAGAAAAATTGCTTCTATTACCCCTCATTTCTAAATTGTGCTATAACGATATCTTCGGAGAACCTTTTCGCCGTGTGGGTCTTTTAAAAAGTCAACTTTTAAATTGTTTAAAGTTCATTAAGTTAACTGCTGATTATGTTTAACACTGATGCTAACTTTTACCAACTTGCAGGTGTAGCTGTCATCCCCAGCAAGGGAAACGAGGGGGGGGGGGGGAGCGAAAGTACAGCCCCTTGCCGATTCAGCACCCGAAGTTCCGGAGCAAAAGTTCGGCCTCAGAGCAGTCCGTGATCACCAGCTTTTGCCGGATCGCTTCGCAATATCCCCTGCGGCGGTCCGATCAGCACGGGTCAACCGAGGTCAAACCAAGGGTTCGGCTTCTCTGTGTGATGTTGCAGACTGCGGTCGCCCAAAGAGCTTATAACAGCACCACTTCTTCCCAAAGGGAATCTGACCGGGGTGAGTCCATGACTTCTTAAAACTGTAGTCACCTATGACTCCACACTCAAGTTCGTTATATGCGATGGCAGAGTTGGTACACTGTGAAAATGCCGTTCTATAAAACTTTCATGCTGTAATGCTTACTTGTGCCATTTATACATGTATGATACACCATTATATAAGTGCTGCAAATTCAACATGTGCTTTAAAGCTTAACTTGACCTGACTTTGATCGGAATCTACTCGTACAAAACAATCGTCACAGCGTAACTACACTAGTTCATGATAAAGCAGCAATCTGGTCTTTGGTTTTCAAGAATTTGCTCAATGTGGCTTTCACCCCAAATGGCTTTTGGAAATATGTCAGCATTGATGAAGGTTATTATAGAAATACCTGACTTCATTTGGGAGCACTAGGCCATGGTCCTGCGCACGCGGAACCATGAACTCGTCGCAGAATTAGATTTTCCCCATTTTCCCATGCACATGCTCAAGTATGAGGTCATGGGTCACTTGCCAGTTGTGTTAGATATCTTAAACATAAAAGCCATGTGTAAAACTTTGCAAAATGAGCTGTCCAAAACTGTGTTACGGTGCACTGTTACGAGGTTCGAGAATTGGTTCGGAACAACGCAGGACATTAACAGCAATCCCTCTTCCTGGAGGGATGTGTGGGTTTTTAAAGATCTGCGTGATTACACCAGCAATGTTTGGACCCTCACGAACGTTCGAGTATTAACATCGACATTCTAGTGGCCTGCGAACCCAAACCACACGCCTCAGTTGGATACTCCAATATTCCGAATGCGATTGATTACCTCTATTGGATGCACATGAAAACATAAAATAGTCTGCCAATTTTGGGTGAGCGTGGAACAAAGGCTATTTGCGGTATAAAGAAGTGATGGTGCATATGGATGCAAACATGACTTCTAACGTCAGTAGGTGAGGTTCCATGTGCTATGGTGAACTGTCCAGCTTGTCCGTCACTTTGCCAGGGCCTTCTCAACGATCGTCCGACGAGGACAATAGAACAGGACAGCAGAAGTGCACTGCCAGCGGTCAGGGAGCACCAACTCCTCACTTACCCCCATACCATCCCAGCTTTCTGCGACTTGGCTAGCTTCTGCTCTGTCCCCATCACCACCCCACGCCGCAGAGAGCCTAATTGGACACGTTGTTTTTCGACGCTGGGGCTGGTTTTTGGCAGCGCCGGGCGAACACGCCATCCGGGCCCAGAGTTTGACGACATCGGATTGATGCGGAGGAGTGGCGCGGCCGGGCTCGTTTGTTGGTAATCTGGCAGCGCGCCCAGACGGGCATTAAGGATTCAGTCCGGGCTGCCGGCACAGAACGGGCCGGAGAACACCTAGGCCTGCTCGGCGTCCCCTACGCCTGGTTGTACCGGAGCAGCGTGATGAGCTCCTCCCGACAGTGATCGGTCCAGAGAGAACTACCTGAAATCTGACGTCCCATAACGACCAGAGCGCTGCGACCACGTCCTGCTCTTACGAGAACTCTTACAAACCTCGCCGCTCGATACCTATGGAACCTTAAACGACAGAAAAGTCCTCTTCAGCGCCACTGCCGTCCGCACATCGCACTAATAAAGCCAACTGTGACGCCACGAAGCGCCGCGAGACGTGAGAGCACACCTGACCGTCGCCCACTCACACTTGACGCTGAGGTGGACGAGCCGGCTAACAGCCTCGCCCTCCGGGTTGGCCGCCCGGCACCGGTACGCGCCGGCCGAGCGGCGGCTCAGGTTGCGGATCACCAGGCTGCGCTCGTTGATACTGACCATGTCGCTGACGCCGGCGCGCGGGCTCGGCCGCACCGGCCTCTCCTGCCGACACAGACGAAAGCGTCTCATGTCAGTGGCTTTGGCTTTCGTTCAGGGCGCAAAGAGCGGAAATAGGTCGCTGACGGTGGGAATGACGCCAGTTCTTTACTTGACTCAGCCATCGTATCGTGAGTAAGTACATTTATTCGTCACACATCAATCTACCCTCCGACAATCTTCAAAATGCTGAAGGGCTGGTCGACGTCACATGGTTTTCCATCAGCATAGCAACGTCGGTTTTTCACCAAGGATATGTACGAGAACGCATATAGCCCCTGTGCAGTGACAGTGGTTGTCGGCAAGCGCAATGTAAAATTCTGACCGATGAATCGTGAACGACACCGCGCTTTATCATCCCGAAACAGATCCTTCTCTATTCTCCCGCTCGGGGATTTGATAGTCTTTAAAGCCGACGGCCTGGCTCTCTTCATGGGAGGCGTGATCTCCTGATTCGGCCGATACCCGCCTCAAAGGAGGCCTCGTAAGCCGCCAGCCCCGAGGGCTTTATCTTGAGCGGGCGATAAATCTGGCGGGCGTGCGCCTGAACCGGCGCGCAGTGCGTCATCTCCGGTGCGGCGGCTGCGCCGAGTCAGCCGCGCCGGAGCGCTGCGCTCAGCGCGCCGCCGTCCGACGCTCCCAAGCCCCGGGTGAAGCACGACCGCTCGCGGCCGATTCGCGTCCGCCTCAGCGGTGACAGACGGGCGCACCCCGCGGCCGTCTGAGTAAGCCGCGGCACAGGAGCGGGCTGGAGACACGGGGCGGTGGGCGACCGCTGCCAGCGACGTACCCGGGGCACAGGGGACGGGTCATGACCACGAGTGCTGCGGGACAGGACTATCGCGAAGGACCAGGCAGTCATTTGCGAGGCAGTGGTACCAAATTGTATCCCATACCCATAACTTTTAGGACATGGTTTGCCTTTGCGTAAGACTCGAGCTCCCCGGTCTCCATGCAGAGGAATCATATTATGATATCGCAGCGCACCCTAAACCATTCAAAACATCGAATAGGATGGACGTGCTATATTCCACTGAACCCCAGCTGATGCGATTGCAACATTGTCAGATCCACAACCGAGCTGTGGGCTGTTTTGACGCGCTTTCAGATGCGATTTTTAGCTTCCAAATACTTGCACACATCTCTGTGAATACCTGCTCGCATGCTGGGACCAGACAACGCTGTAGACGATTGGGCCGTGCCGACCATTCTCACGTTATGTGACCAGACAATGCTGTAGACGATTGGGCCGTGCCGGCTATTCTCACGTTATGTGACCAGACGGTGCTGTAGACGGCCGGGTTGGCCCGGACGTTGCACTCGAAGTAGACGTCGGCACCCTCCCGGATGTTCTCGGCGTCCAGTGCATTACCGAGCCGCAAACTGATGATGGGCGGGACTGGAACAGGACCGGGCGTCACCCTCAGCCGCACACCGACGCACGGCGTTCCTCACAGGGCGGCCAGTTCACCCACGGGCCCGGCTCACAGGGCGGCCAGCTCACCCACGGGCCCGGCTCACAGGGCGGCCAGCTCACCCACGGGCCCTCCTCACAGGGCGGCCAGCTCACCCGCGGGCCCGGCTCACAGGGCGGCCAGCTCACCCACGGGCCCGGCTCACAGGGCGGCCAGCTCACCCACGGGCCCGGCTCACAGGGCGGCCAGTTCACCCACGGGCCCGGCTCACAGGGCGGCCAGCTCACCCACGGGCCCGGCTCACAGGGCGGCCAGTTCACCCACGGGCCCGGCTCACAGGGCGGCCAGCTCACCCACGGGCCCGGCTCACAGGGCGGCCAGCTCACCCGCGGGCCCGGCTCACAGGGCGGCCAGCTCACCCGCGGGCCCGGCTCACAGGGCGGCCAGCTCACCCGCGGGCCCGGCTCACAGGGCGGCCAGCTCACCCGCGGGCCCGGCTCACAGGGCGGCCAGCTCACCCGCGGGCCCGGCTCACAGGGCGGCCAGCTCACCCACGGGCCCGGCTCACAGGGCGGCCAGCTCACCCGCAGGCCCGGCTCACAGGGCGGCCAGCTCACCCGCGGGCCCGGCTCACAGGGCGGCCAGCTCACCCGCGGGCCCGGCTCACAGGGCGGCCAGCTCACCCGCGGGCCCGGCTCACAGGGCGGCCAGCTCACCCGCGGGCCCGGCTCACAGGGCGGCCAGCTCACCCACGGGCCCGGCTCACAGGGCGGCCAGCTCACCCACGGGCCCGGCTCACAGGGCGGCCAGCTCACCCACGGGCCCGGCTCACAGGGCGGCCAGCTCACCCGCGGGCCCGGCTCACAGGGCGGCCAGCTCACCCACGGGCCCGGCTCACAGGGCGGCCAGCTCACCCGCGGGCCCGGCTCACAGGGCGGCCAGCTCACCCACGGGCCCGGCTCACAGGGCGGCCAGCTCACCCACGGGCCCGGCTCACAGGGCGGCCAGCTCACCCACGGGCCCGGCTCACAGGGCGGCCAGCTCACCCACGGGCCCGGCTCACAGGGCGGCCAGCTCACCCGCGGGCCCGGCTCACAGGGCGGCCAGCTCACCCGCGGGCCCGGCTCACAGGGCGGCCAGCTCACCCACGGGCCCGGCTCACAGGGCGGCCAGCTCACCCGCGGGCCCTCCTCACAGGGCGGCCAGCTCACCCGCGGGCCCGGCTCACAGGGCGGCCAGTTCACCCGCGGGCCCGGCTCACAGGGCGGCCAGCCCACCCACGGGCCCGGCTCACAGGGCGGCCAGCTCACCCACGGGCCCGGCTCACAGGGCGGCCAGCTCACCCACGGGCCCGGCTCACAGGGAGGCCAGCTCACCCGCGGGCCCGGCTCACAGGGCGGCCGGCTCACCCACGGGCCCGGCTCACAGGGCGGCCAGCTCACCCACGGGCCCGGCTCACAGGGCGGCCAGCTCACCCGCGGGCCCGGCTCACAGGGCGGCCAGCTCACCCACGGGCCCGGCTCACAGGGCGGCCAGCTCACCCACGGGCCCGGCTCACAGGGCGGCCAGTTCACCCACGGGCCCGGCTCACAGGGCGGCCAGTTCACCCACGGGCCCGGCTCACAGGGCGGCCAGCTCACCCGCGGGCCCGGCTCACAGGGCGGCCAGTTCACCCACGGGCCCGGCTCACAGGGCGGCCAGCTCACCCACGGGCCCGGCTCACAGGGCGGCCGGCTCACCCGCGGGCCCGGCTCACAGGGCGGCCGGCTCACCCGCGGGCCCGGCTCACAGGGCGGCCGGCTCACCCGCGGGCCCGGCTCACAGGGCGGCCGGCTCACCCGCGGGCCCGCGGGTGAGCTACAAGCGGCTGTCACGAGTTTGTACGCCTTTGGTCTGAAATCAATTGGTTTGGAAGCGTTAAAGGTTTCTGGTTAATCTATATGTGCCAAAATCGAAGAAAATTTGACAATAGGATATGGCAGATGCCCCCGGAAAATTTGGTAATAGGATATGGCAGATGCCTCAGGAAAATCTGACAATAGGATGTTGCAAATGCCTCCGGAAAATTTGGCAATAGGATATGGCAGATACCCCAGAGAAAAGGGCATGCGGACCATCTTGTTCCAAACAATTGATCATGAAGCTGGCCAATCAGTTCTGCACTATGAATACACATAACAAGCCCGACAGGACCCACTTGCGACAATACTGCGGGTTGTGGGAAATCATCTCCCGCATCCAGTTTAAACAGAAACATGCGCCTGTTGGTGGAAAGGAGCCGCGTTGACAGTGTTATACCATAACAATCCAGTATGAGAAATGTGGTAGACCACTCTACGAAGCGAGCGCGTCGTGACAACCCGAGGTCCGGCATGGCTGTATGTCACCCGAACTTCTAGATCGGGCACGACGTCCGACATCAGTTGAGGCAGACGAGTTTCAACAGCATTCACAAGGCGAGCTAATACATTGACCCACATTCGTTTCGCTGAAGGATGTGCTATTGGTATCTGCAAGCGACTCGCCGAGCGTTGGCACTGCTGCAATCATTTTAATGCGTCCAGTAGGGGCGGGCCAGTCCCACAATAGCCAGACGCGTCCTGCATCAAAAACACGATGGAGATATACGGTTCCATATCAGCGAGGGAGTGCAATACAAAGGAGCATTGTGCACGGCTGGTGGCTCGCTGTCGAACGGGCCAGCTAATCTGTATTTGTCGGCGTGTTCAGATCTGGAAACTGCTCTGGTTGATCGTCACTTCGAGACGTGCAAGGCTGCCTGTACAGCTAATCTGGAGAGCGTAAACACATGCTCGATCCTGCCACGGGAACTCTGATTAGGGAACTCAAACGCTCCGAGAGAGTGATACCGATATAAGCCGACATACGTCATGCTAGGAAGGAGGTATTCAGCAACTCTTTACATGAGCAAATGTACTGGACTGAATTTCACCTTCTGTCTGTCATGGGCCGAGGTTTCTGTGTTAATAGATTCGTGAGGCACTTACACCTGACGTTGAGCAGCCTCTTATCCTCGATCGTGCCGCCCGAGACCAGGCTGTTCTCCGCTCTGCACGTGATCTCTCTGCCGTTGTCGGTGGGGCGCGGCTTGAAGGGCAGCGTGCTGCTGGTGATGTTGCCCAGTCCGGACTCCTGCCGAGGCCCACAGCTGGTAATCATCGCGCCAGGGCTGCTCGATTCCGAGATTATAGCTTGTTTGATGAGTTGACGGCAATCGCCTGATAGTGATGAATTGCCCGTCGGAAAATAACGCAATATGGCGCGAATGAGCAAAACGTGAGCTCAAGAAGTGTCACCGGCACCGTAAGCGACCACCGTCAACTAATAACCTCTCGTTGAGTGGGCACCGGCAGACACGGATCGCACAGAACAGCTGTGCTGCAGCGATAAGGAGCTGCAGATTCGGGCTCTTTGGTAGCATCTATGTAGAATAAGGGCTATCCATACATAACAAGACACGCTCCCAATAACGCGCTCACTAATATGTCGCTACGGAAGCTCCCATGCACTTGATGCATTGTCGCACCAACATCGCCTGAATTATTTCACTTATGCAAAATCAACAGAATGTTACGGCTCGAGCCCAAGGAACACTCGACACGACCTCTTCAGCTTCAGGAATAACAGCGAAAGAGGGCACTTAGGCGTCCCTTTTTTCCTACACGGAAAAACCTCATCAACCCGTTTTTCTGGGTGCAAGGCCAAACTGTATTGACCGGGCTGACGGCCACTGCATCCTACATGTGTTGGGAGGCCATTGGGTTTATAAAGGATACAGCCTGACACGTCGCAACGACCGTTTGACATGACTTTCAATGACAAGATAACACCGAAATGCGGGCTTTTGCTGGCTGTTTTGTAACATCTTACATAAATGGATCAATACGAAATAGCATGCATATTTCTACATCCGCAGGCGAGCCGAGGGAGGTTTGCAGCTGTCTGGAGCGGTTTAATCTGGCGGTGAATAACCACACCGCAAAATTACACACCCCGCTGACCGTCCGCGGCCTGTTTTGGCCATGAAGCGGGGATAGGTGTCTGAGACACGAGAATTGATGAAGTATTTTTCAGGTGGGGCCGAAATGTGCGTTATAAGCTTCCTTGCCTGCACGCGGAGCCTAAGGGCAGCGTTTCAAAATGCTTTGATCAATATTCGGAGTCAGTCAAAGAGTAGACTGCGGAAAAGCGCCCCGTCTACGTACTATATTACAGTTCATTGACAAGTTCCCACGTGATGGAGGAAAGCATTGTAAAATATTGTAACCAGCATTTTAAGCTCAAATGCAGAAGTGGATGGCCACATCTCGCGCTGGCGACCGATAAGAAAAATTAATGGTGCTTATCGCATGTGGATAGCTGGGCCACGGAATGGAATGGTTCCCGTTTCTGTTCATTTCGCCTACTTGAGCTCGACAGACCAATGCGGTTCAGCTGACGCCAGTCTTATCGCGTCACAAGACTGATGATGGAGCCAGCCAGCCTCCATCCCAGCTGATAAATATGGGCTATGTGCACCAGCCAGGCCGACACACTCGGGGAGCGAAACAATGCAGGGTAAAAGGCTGGTATGCCGCGGTACTGCCGTTGTGCCGGGCTGCACCTTGGTCCACATTCAATATTATGACTGTTAAACGCAGCATTGCAGCAGTCAGGCAAAATAACGATAAGCGGCTGCGGAAATACAAATGGTGAAAGAGATGATGGGACTAAAGCCATTTTTCAAGACAATTTTTTATGCGTCACTATGTAGTTGACGATAAACCTTCATGGAAAAGGAAATGCGGGCCTTCGCTGGCCGTTTTGTGACATCTTACAGAACTGGATCAAAACGAAATAGCCTGCATATTTTACGTCCGTAACTGGTGTCGTTAGCATTACTTAAACTGCTTGAAGCTACCTGTGATAAATTGATGCTAAAATTGCAACACATGCAACAGTTAATATAAAATTTGCTAATCGGGCCGGAAGCAGAAAGGAAATGCGAATATTGGCTCGGATTTTGTACGGGATCCAAAAATCGAACGCTTATGTAGCTGCTATGTTTTCCCATCATTGAACACTGGGGCTTAGAATTTATCAACAACATCCTGTGAACGGGAAGCACGCCTTGCTACACCACAAACCATACCACCACACCTAGTTACACCACAAACCATACCACCACACCTAGTTACACCACACACTATACCACCACACCTGGTTACACCACACACCATACCACACCTGATCAAACACGCGCTGGAGTCCTATAGCACAACGTGCCGAGATGGTGTGTTCGAAACACAGCGGAGACCAGCGAGCGTCGGGAGGCGTGGCATGCAGCGGAGACCAGCGAGCGTCGGGAGGCGTGGCATGCAGTAGAGACCAGCGAGCGTCGGCAGGCGTGGCATGCAGCGGAGACCAGCGAGCGTCGGCAGGCATGGCATGCAGCGGAGACCAGCGAGCGTCGGCAGGCGTGGCATGCAGCGGAGACCAGCGAGCGTCGGCAGGCGTGGCATGCAGCGGAGACCAGCGAGCGTCGGCAGCCGTGGCATGCAGCGGAGACCAGCGAGCGTCGGGAGGCGTGGCATGCAACCCACCGTGAGCTGGGCTCCCAGAACGCGCCGGTCTTGAACCCACCAGGAGATGTTGGCCGGCGGTCTGGAGCCGTACGTGCGGCACACGAGCGCGTACAGCATGCCCGACTGCATAGACGCCCTGGACGAGCCAAGAATCTCCACATCCAGCGGCCGGACTGGAACGGAACGACACGAGCTGAGTAGAGACTGAAGCGACCAGACACCTCCCAAAGGCTTGGCCAGAGAAGCTTGGCTGGAGCCACCAGCTGCAATCTGCAAAAGCTCTACAGATGTCAATCACATCACGCCGTTTTGTGCTATCGTGTTCACAAGATGCTCCGGTGCCAGCTACGCAGAATTGACGAAGTCAGCGGGCGTCGCGGCTGTGCGACACATCATGTCGCGAGGGAAGGACCTCGCAGGGAATCGAGCCCCGTACCGCCGGTTTCTAAGATGCACAGCTTAACCACCTAGCCGTCGTACCCCTGACGAGGGATGCCTTCACGTGGTGAAAGCACTGATGCGAAAAGCCACCACAGTTTTGGAGACACCAGTCACAGATTGGGATTCACTGGTCAGTGCGAGATTGAGCCTCTGCCAGAATAATAACTGAGATCGAATGAAAGAGAAGAGAATGTCTACAGCATGAACATGCTTTCCGATAGTATAGTGGGCCAAAACGGGTTGCAAGGTCCCAGTTAAAATTTGAAATAACTTTACGTCAGACGAAAGAAAACTCATACGCCATACGATTTAAATAAAGGGCGTGGCAGCGACATAAAAATTGAGTTATTCGTATTTCAATTTGAGCCGGCGCTGCACAAATAGTGTTCCGTTGAAGTAACCGGTAAGGGACGGCGGATGCTCGCAATCAAACCTAAGTGACAACAGCTATGGAATTTTTGATGCCAGTGCCTTTCATGCCATTTCCTATCTTCAAGTTCTCAAGTTCATTCAGAGCTCTTGAGATACAAGAAAAGGCTGACAGTGCCAAAAAACAAATCCGGTTCCTGAAGAGGTTATCAGCAGTGGAGTATACATACGTCCTGTACAAATATCCCAGGCTTACAACTGAACGCATCCTTTATATGCATTGAAATATAGTTAGCTGTTAGCGAAAGATGACGCAAACATACACTACAAACCGACGGGAGCGAAAATTGACGGGCGGCCACAGCTTTTATTCTGTGCAGGCAAGGAGAGGTTGTGTGCTCGAGAATATTGCGTTCGAGGTTCCGAGCCGCACTCCTTTCTTCTGCCTACGTCCTTCGGCGTTTCAAGCCCTTAGCATGTCACGGTCCGCTGACCAGCGCCCACAGTCCGCTGACCCATGCCCCATCACTGGCATATCTTATGGCATAGTCAATGCATCTTAGATCTGTCGGTGCGTCCGCCCAACACGGGTTTGACGCTGTGACGAGATGGGTGGGATTGTGAGCCGAGGCTGCTGGGCGTGTATACCCGCTCCCACTGCCCAACACTATAACTGGAAGTAGCTTGTGATGGGTGTTGCAAGTGTTCCGCACCTACAAATTTCCGCCATTTGCGCGTGGAAATGGTTGGGTTTAGCGCGTAGCACAGCAACAGGTCCGATGGGTGAGCCTACTGGCCTGATGGGAGCCGGTCCGAGGGTGCAGCTCGTTTGTAGCCGATCGCGGCCATCAGCAGCTTTTTAGTCACATTGGAGGCGTTCACGGCTGGATTTCCGATTAAGAGATTATGTTTAACGCGTTATTCCCCCCCAAAAGGTTTCTGAGGCACACGTTACACAAGAAACGGTTGTGAGGTGGCCCCAAATAGGGGGCCACTGTTATCGTCGCTGAGCCGAATCGTGGACCGCTGTTATCGTCGCTGCCCCGCATTGTGGGTCGTGTGTGCTGAAGATCCTCGAACACGTAACCCCTCCGTGTCCGTGCAGAAAACGACCACGACCACTTGTCAATTCGATTTGTGTGAATGCAAGTTTGGGTTATTTTCTGCTCACAACTGATTATATTCCAATGCACATGAAGTTCGCTGCACCCAGTAAGCCTTCCAGCATGAGACTTAAGAATGACCAATCACATTATTACTCGAGAAAAAACTTCGCAACATGTCATACTTAAACGGAGTGTTCTACATTTGTATGGGGGCTGAAACTCAAATAGCCATCTTGAAGATCATTCGGTGCAGTTCAGAGCCCTGCCATTCTTAAGACCTAAACCACTTTAGTTTCTAAGCTGCACGCCCGCGAAGATATGCAGGCTAATTCGGGAGACTATTTCGAAGTCACCGGGAATCCATGATGCCATGATAACGCCATTCAACTTCTGCCATTCCGCTGGTCATGGGGTTATCAAAGCCAAGAAAAGAAGTGAACTGTCGAGTTGTTCATATCTGGCGTTCGTGAGCTGGCTTCCAGATATAACGGCCGTTAATTGGCTCCCACTCGAAGTTGTGCAAGGGAAGATGACGAACTCAAACGATGACGTATTGACGAGCATATTGACTGATAAGATAGATTGTGTTGTCTAGAGTAGCGTTTTCCACTACAAAGTATACCAATAGTTATCAGAGAGCTCAATTCACCTCTCGCGCTTGCTTCAATATCTTAAATGTAGAGAATTCTCTTTAATGGAGGGATAACCATCCTCAGTTTGCCATTGTATGCATGTGCTTGACATCCCAATATCTCCAAATGTGAGCCTCTGGCAATAAAACCGGTGGCACCCATCTGTTGCATTCTACCATAACAAAGCGCAGGATTACTTGAGTGGAAGTGTTGTGCACCAGAGCACCCTCTCTCCTCTCTCTCTCCCTCTGTTGTTTTTAGTGGAAAATCAATTTGCATCTTGTTGTGAAACAAAGGCATCAGCTTGTATTCCAAAGCATCAGCGTGTATCGAATTAGCCACCACTGTGTATCGACTCAGCAAACTTTTACAAACTTTGGCCAGAACGACTCCTTGGGGATTCCGATATCCTACCATATCTTCTGAAATGGAACCTGCAAAACAATGTGTTTTCTTACTCTAAGCATCTCTGTAGCAATTTTGTGGGAAGTTAAAGGCGTATGCGAATGCTACTTCGGTAAATAAAACAACCAACATCTTGTCACAGAAAGTCAAACTTGATGCAGAATTAATTATGTTGTCACAAAAAATTGCTGACAATCAAACTTTTCCCCTGCCTTGACACTGTTTTGGGCTTGTTCTCTACTCGGAAAACAGAAGGTGAAAGGAAATAATCCTTACTAGTGGCACCGTGGCCAAGTGTGTTTTCTATGGACTACCACACAATATTCAGCTTCATCAGCCTAGCCCGGCCCAGCGGCGCGTTTTTAAGACTCCACAGCTACCGATTGCAAGTTAATGCGGTGGTGAGCATTAGGAAGCCTGACTGTTGAACAACTATACCGTGTTAATTTTTAGTAAATTTGCATGAAATCGGTCGGATGACACGAGTGTTCATGCAAATCTCTCATATCTCTACGATGTCACATTCCTTATCGATCATTATGAAAAACGCAAAGCTTTCAACTTGAGACAGAGCCTGAAGCACAGGGTTTAAAACTGGGTCAAGGCCTCGGCAACCGAGCGTCGCAGCGAGACGACACAAATATCTTTACGGAGGAGAAAGAGGACAACCGCATAGGCGAAAGCGTGATGCGATGTGTACAGATGGTTACGCTGCCTAGTGCCCTAACTTTTGGTTCCCCTGTTGTGGAGGGCTTTTAAGTTCGCATATCAGATCTCAGGAACCAGAGCGGATGAAGACGTGAGAAACTGC